GGCTCAAGCAGTTGTGCGCAGCCTGGCATGCGTGCTGCCCGGGTTCGATCCTCAGCACCACATACACACAAAGATGTTGTGTACGCCAAAAACTAAAAAATAAATATTAAAAATTCTCTCCCTCTCTCTCTCACTCTCTCTTTAAAAAAAATAAAAATCATCCTCCTCTCAAAGCTGCCTGTGTGGTTCCCCCATCCCACCTCCACTCCAGAGTTAGTCATTTTCTTAAATGTTGTACTTACTGCTCTCTTCCATTTTTAGGAATTATATTTTCATATTCATGTTTATAAGGAATATATAGATTAGTCTTACATGTTTGTAGATTTTTGTTAAATAAATGGATCTCAGGGTCTTTATCAGCTATTTCTTTTTTTCACGTTTGTCCTTTCTCTGTATAGTTTTGCATGAGCAAGAAAACATAAAACTGCTTTTAAATAAATTTTTAGCACAATAAGTGGCACAACCTCCCAGCCAGCTACTTAACCCAGCTCCCTTTCCCAGCCCACTGCTCCCACATCTACCAGTCCTGCCTACCAGTATGTTCCCATTCTGAACATGGCTCTCCATCTCCACTGTCACCACCCATCCCAACCATCTTGCTCTCCTGCCCAGAAAGCTGTCATAACCACTTTACTGCTCTCTTGCTGCCTAAAGTACACATTTTACCTTATAGCCAAAGCAATACTTTTAAAATTGTAACACCATGTTATTTTCCTGATTACAACACACTTAAATGGCTTCCCATTGCACTTTTTAAAATTTCCTCTTCCTCACCATGGCCTGCAGTTCTCTATGTGCCATGATCTATGACCAACCCTACTCTTCTTCACCTGCATGCCAGTGACACTCCTTCCACCTTAGGGATTTTTTTGTCTGCTGTTCCAACCACCCTCATACTTTTCCCCACGATCATGGTATGGCTGGATTCTTCTGAAATAACAAATGTCCCCTGCACACAGGGGCTGTTTCTGACCACCCTACCTGAAGTAGCAGCTTTCCCCTGCACTCATCAGTCAGCCTGTGGACCTGTTCGTTGTCAGTCTCCCTCCTCCTATGAGTTCCGTGAGGGCAGGAACCTTGATTTTGTTAAAGAAAAAAGTTATTCTATTGTTTATTTTTTTAATGGCAAGAAAGTCTTTATTCAAAACTATTGCAGAAGGGGAACTTCAGTAAGGGAGAGAGATTGGGCTCGAATCCAAATACAACAAGGGCAAGGGGGCATTCCATAGTTAATAAGTAGAGAAAGGGGGCCAATGGGTAGAAACTTCATAAGAGGAGATATCAAGGGTGGGGTGATTCTTGGATGACCTGATATAAGAAAATTCTTACTAAACATAGGCCAGTATCTTAGATAGCAAAGAAAGAGGATGACAAACAGATATCAAGGGTGGGAGATTTTTCCTAAATAGACTCAGCAAGATTCTTGCTATAACTGGCCTGAGCATGCCAAGGACAGAAAGTGGGGTGAAGTTTAGAGTTCATTGACAAGAGGGCTGAGGAAAACCTGATTGAAAGGAGGTTATGAAGAGAATATTTACCAACTTTTGATTCTTTTATTTCTCTAAGACAGTATTATCCAATAGAAATAAAATGAAAGCCACAAATTCAAGACAAACATATATTACATTTTTTAGCAGCCACATTAGAAAAGGCAAAAAAATTTTTGGAGCCCGACCCCACAATATGTAGATCAGAGCCAACTTTTTCTTCTATCAGACGCAGAGTCTCTGATTTGATATCTAGCTCCTTGATCCACTTTGAGTTAACTTTTGTGCATGGCGAGAGGAGGGGATTCAGTTTCATTTTGTTGCATATGGATTTCCAGTTTTCCCAACACCATTTG